GAAGTTCTAAATATATATATATATATATATTATTATTATTACTTTAAAATTTAATGCAAACAATTGATTGAATGTCTTCGTTTCTTTCTGTTTAAGAATACTATTTCATTCATATTATTTATTATACATGGCGGGCTATTCAAATAATTTGTGTGAACAAATACAAAGATAGAAGCTATAGGATGACGTTTTGAGTGAAAGTGAATAGAAAGGAAGGTTTGCCAAACAAAGTGTCGAAGAACAACTAGGAGTCCCATCAAAAATAATACCAGGTAGGGAAGAAAAATTTATAAGATTAACCAATTTTTGACTGCCTATAATTATTGCTTTTGTGCTTGAAATTGCTATACAAAATAATATCGTAAGGAGTGCGGTTGTACTTGCGTGTTCTTTTAACTTAATGTGAACCGGACGAAGGTTGAAATTGTCGGAAGTCATTCAATGAATGAGCGACGATAGGAGTCCATAAGAGCAGACATAGGTTATACGATCTTTACCATGAAAGTGCATATATTTATAGCGTCAAATTTAGGGAATATGTAAAAAAAATTCAAAAATATTTAAAAAAGTGTGCTCCACAGCCAAGTCTTTGCATTTGAGCAACAAAATTAAAACGGCTTCTAATAAAATTAAAATACATGGAGTATAATTAATAGCGACACTGGTAAAATCAACCCTCGCAATTCAAACTACCAGTTAAATAATAAAAACAAATTAACTGAATGAGATCAGGGCGTTGCAATGGTTTTTGAGAAATATTTTACTGATATTCCGATATTAACCACTAAGTCACTGAATTCCTCTCATGCCGTCGCCGAATCATTACTAAAGCAAAATATAAATGCATGTACAAAGAATTTTACATTTCGTTGAGTATCATCAAAAGATATTGTATAATATTTTAAAATTATTGATGTTAAGAAAACTGCGGATCAGTGGGAGATTTCCGTTAAAGTTATTGCACCTATAACAGATTCAATCGCGCCTCATTTAGCTATTATTTTTAATACTAGTATCGAATTGGGTATGTTTTATGATTCCTGATAATGAAGCATAGTAAAGTATTATATTTATATATATAAATTATAATATATTAATTAGTTTTTATTATTTTTATTAATTAATATATATTATATAATTAAATGTATATATATATATATATATATATATATATATTGTCGTGAAGCGACAATAATAAATCTAACCTAAGAACAACAAAACAACAAAAATACAACAAAAACAAAAATATATTCAAAATTTAAAGATATTTACAATTTTATAAAAAAAATGAAATGAGGATGATGATGAATGAAGTGAGAGTACAATTAGATTACAAAAAAAAATATAAAGGTAGGAGAATGGGGGAATAAAGAGATGTAGTGGGGCCTAAAAGTCGAAGCGACACACGTTGCGATTGTAGAGGTAGGTTTCTTAGCAGCGACGACACGCAGCGCCTGAAGCCAGCACCCGCCGGTTGCGCTTGTAGAGGTAAGTTTCTTAGCAGCGACGGCACGCAACGCCTGGAGCCAGCACACGCAGCGTCCGGAGCCGGCGCACGTAGCGCCTGGAGTAGGTGCGCTCAACGCTTAGAGCCAGCAGTTGCAGCGCCCAAAGGTAGCGCCGGCGGTAGGTGCTCTCGGCGCCTGGAGTAGTGTGGCCCCCGCGCTTGTAGTAGACTCGAAGCGACTTCCGAGGTAGATGGAGGCTTGTAGGATTCCGTAGTGGTGTGGCTCCGCGTTTGAAGAAGGCTTCGCCGAAGAGTACACGTGTAGGTGGAGGCTTGCAGGATCCCGGGGCAGTGCGGCCCCGGGATAAGGCCTTTAGGAGATACTTCCAATTCGCGAACTGAAGCGGGACTGCCTTTCTTCACCGATTGTTCGGCTTTTATACCTTTCTAGAGAGAACGGAAAAATTATTTAAATTAAACGCAAATTTTTTGTAAATGGTCAAGAGAAAAGAGTTTTTATGTGGAATTATCGAAATAGGAACAACAGATCGGTAGCAAATTTGAATATAATTACTATGGAAACGAAATAAATAACAATGACAGAACATGTCAAATTTTGGTTTTAGGTTTATAATAAGAAAATAGTAAGATTTAAGTGGAAAATGAGATATTATTGATATAGGAAAAAAGGTAGCGCAGCTGCCCACACAAAGTCCAAGATTGTAGAGTTACGGAAAACTAGCTAAAAGATCGAAAAAAGGTAGACTCCATTGACACCAATTTAAAAGTGCTGATAATGTGAAAATACGAAGTAGAAATGATTTGTTATTGTGTTCTTATGGTTTAAAATCGTTACAGGATCCTATGGAAATAAAGGTGATGTAAAATATCCAGTTTTGAGGTGAATGCAGAAAATCGAAACAGAATGGAAAAATGAATTTAAAATAATGTAAAATGATATGTAAGTAGCATAACACTACATTTTCCCCCCGACCCTGGAAAATTTTTGACTCAGCAAAAATTTTGATATATACATTCTAAAATAAACCATAAAAACACAGCTTTGCAGAAACAGACATCACCAGGCAAAATCAGATATACTATCTCTTACATTCATCATCTGCCATTCAGGTAAGGGTGGAGTTCACATTCAATGACTACCACTCTAAAAGTGTGTTTTCAAAACGACATTAAGGCTTATTTAAGGAGTAGTCATCCGCTCCTGCGTGGAAAAAAAAATAAATTAGTCGAAGAAACACCACTCTTAAAAGTGTGTTTTCGAAAGGACATTCAGGCTTATTTAAGGAGTTGTCATCCGCTCCTGCGTGAAAAAAAAATAAATTAGTCGAAGAAACACCACTCTTAAAAGTGTGTTTTCGAAAGGACATTCAGGCTTATTTAAGGAGTTGTCATCCGCTCCTGCGTGAAGATAAAAAAAATTATTAAGGGAGTAGTCAGCCGCTCCCAAGTGAAGATAAAGATAAAGAAATACCTCAAGTAAGCTTTAGTGGCTATGACTTAAGTAAAGATTAAGAACGGCCAGAGCGGTAGGGCTCAAAGCCAGAGAACAGCAACATCAGTAGCGAGATGTGTCTGAAATAAAAAGTGAAGATTAACCAACGAAAGTTCGAGGTCCTAGAGCAAGATGTGTTGAAGAACAAGGTTTCTGATTTGTTATTTTTATTTAAATTACTCCACAATATCATAGACTGCTCAGAACTTTTACAAAAGATTAATTTTAGAGTTCCGTTCAGGCCTCCACGAAAACCTATTACACCACTCAGTCCTCCATTACGACGAACTGTTTTGGGATCACATTCGCCAATTTGTAGGATGATCAGACTTTTTAACCAAATTAGCGATCTCGTCGACATTAACCATGTTTCATTGGGAAAGTTTCGAAAGGCTGTCTATATGATAGGTACCTCAGATTATAAACATTTGCCTTGTTAAACACTTTTTCCTTTTTTTAATCTTTTAATTTTTTTTTTAAATTTTTAATTTTTTTATTTTATTTTGTAAATTTTGTAAATCCATACCTTGCCGCTCTGTTTTTGGTCAGATTGTTTTAGTGAATTTTATAATGGCAATACTACAGTGTTTCTATTCAATAAGTATAAATTCGTCTTTTAATTGTCGCGATAAAAGTTATGCATGTGGTGTTTACCTGTAATTGACTGTGTACTTAGTTTTTTTTACTATATCGCTTGATTTATATGGGAAGATGTTAGTGCATAAGTTGTTGGTAAACCAATTTTAATAAAATTAAATAAAAATAAAATAAAACACTGGATCATCAAACAAACAAACAAATTAAAAGAAATAAAAATAATAAGGTGAGAATGATGGTGATATTTATACATATATACAAATTAACAGTTAATAAATGTTTAGATATTTATACATATATACAAATTAACAGTTTGTAAATGCTTAGAAAAGTTATGAATCGTCTCGCTTCAGCTTTGAAAAATAATTTTATATAAAGTGTAAAGTTCAAAGTTAAGTTTAAGAAATAAAGGGTTAATTGAAAAGTTATACCTCTTTAAGTTACCTAGAATAAAAATATTAAGATGATTAATGTAAGTGAATATTAAAGTGATGAATGTAAGTGGAGTGTTAAATGTAGGTCTAAATATAATCTAGATAAGTTGAAAAACTAGATGAAGTTTTGTTCTAAAATAAAAATATTAAAGTGATGAATGTAAGTGAAGTGTTAAATGTAGGTCTAAATATAATCTAGATAAGTTGAAAAACTAGATGAAGTTTTGTTCTAAAATAAAAATATTAAAGTGATGAATGTAAGTGAAGTGTTAAATGTAGGTCTAAATATAATCCAGATACGTTTAAACACTAGATGAAGTGTTGTTTTAGAATTTGGAAGGTATGAAAAGATGAATAAATGAAGAGTTAAGAACGAAAGGGAGAGCAATTAAATCAAAAGGGAATGGACAAGGCGCAGTAAAGGTGAAGAATTAAGAGAGAAAGAGGACTTTTACGTTGGGCGCCAAATGTCGTGAAGCGACAATAATAAATCTAACCTAAGAACAACAAAACAACAAAAATACAACAAAAACAAAAATATATTCAAAATTTAACCTCTTAGGACCCCGCGGCCTCACATGAGTACATAGAAAATAAAAATTCGTTGAACGAAACGCGTTTGCATTTTCAAAATATGGCGCGTTTCTTTGTCTCAATTATGACTCTGTCATTATGATTAAAGTGACAAACAACTGTCAGGCGGCCATTATCAATTGCTGTGTCTCAAAAACTTCGTCTTGCCGGTAACAACAATGGCACGTGGTAAGTTAATCCTGTTTAATCAATATTATATCATAATTATATATTTTTATTTCACTTTTTTTATACAGTTCTAGATGCATTTGAAAGAATGGAGTTGTTATTTTTTGGATTTAACAAAAAAAGTATGGATAAATCTTGGTTTTTTTCTTAAGTACTCGTATAAGTACACTCGGTCTTAACTTTAGTAATTTTTTAATTTTAATTTTGAGGTTATGTGAATTATTGCAATATTTATTTTTGTTTACAGCTTTGAAAGAAAGCGAAATTGAACAGCAATTGAATTTCAATTACTCAGATGGCCTTTCTGATGATGTAGAGGAAGATGTATTCATTCAAGAACACCGCCTATTGTCGTCTGAGTCAGAAAGTGACAATGGAAGCAGCCACGATTTAAGGCATTTCCAACAAGAGTTTGAAAACGAGCCAGCGGTTTCTAGTCCAGCTATGCCTCCACGTGAAATATGTACTCCTACACTTATAAGAGGACCTCCGAGTGTGAGATCAAGAGGGCATTCTCTAAGAAGGGGTATATCTAGGGGACGTTCGAGAGGTCCATCAAGACGTGTGATATCAGTAAGCCAAAGGCCGCGAGGCAGACCGCCAACTCGTTACCGTGGATCAAGGGTACGTGCTCGAGGTATTTCTTTTCGTCACTATTACTCACCAGAAGACTGGAATGGCACAAATTTTTCTCATATAATACCTGAACTTAACCAGCCATCTTATAAACCACGGGAACTACATGACTGGCGTCCTGAAGACTTTCTTGCCGATTATATCGATGACCAGCTATTGCAAAATATCACAGTACAAACAAACAGGACTTACATTAAAAATTACGGGAGGTCACTGGGTCTCACTGTTAAGGAACTGAAAGTATTTTTTGGTATTACTTTTGTTATGTCTTGCCTTAATTATCCTCAACTACGTATGTTCTGGTCTAAAAAATGGAAAATTCCTATTGTTGCTGAAAATATGACTAGAGATAGATTTTTCAAGATACGAACATCTTTAAAAATTGTATTTGATGATGAAATATCCTCTTCAGAAAGAAGCTCAGATAAATTATGGAAAGTGAGGCCTCTTTTCGATAGAATATTACTAGGGTGCTTAAAACAAGAAAGAGCACAACATATATGTATTGACGAAATGATAATACCATTTTCAGGGAGCTGTCCAATACGGCAATATGTGCCAAATAAACCGCACCCATTAGGTTTAAAGGTTCTGGTTTTAGCTAATCCAAACGGAATAATATGCGACATGTTTGTGTACCAAGGAGACACGACTTTTACCGATACTATGAGAAGCATTTACTCGGTCAATGAGTGTTCTGTTCTTCAACTAACTGAGTCTTTAGTTCCTGGACACGTCTTATACTTCGATAGATATTTCACCTCCCTCAAATTGGCAGAAACACTTTTTGATCGTGGTTTCCTGTGTGCAGGAACCATAATGAAAAACCGTATCCCACAAAATGTGCTGCTCATGAAAGATCGTGATATGAAAGAAAAAGGACGTGGATGCTGTTTTACAACATACTCTACGGACGGGAAGTTAGCAATAACAAAATGGTTTGACAATAAACCAGTGCATATGTTGTCGACGTGCTATGCGGCTGAAAATACAGATTTTTGCTCAAGATGGTCAAAGACAAAGAAGGCTTACGAATCGGTTAGTAGGCCAGAAGTAGTAAAACATTACAATACTAATATGGGGGGCGTTGATCTCGTAGATCGTATGCTCGCTGTTTGCCCTTCCAAAGCAAGAACCAAAAAATGGACGATTAGGTTCATTTTTCATTGTTTTGATATAGCTGTTACCAATGCTTGGCTTCTTTATCGCCAAGAAGCAAACAAAAAAGGCACGCCTAGTAAAAATATATTACAGATGAGAAGTTTTAAGCTGATGCTAGGGGAGCAAATCATAGAACACAAAACTGTAAGCTCGGATTCTGAGGAGAATGAGTCTGATTTCGAGGCTGACTTGGCCCCTAAACATAAAAAACGTCGTATTCTGATTCAACCTGTGCCATCTATAATTCGTCGTACACAAAAGGCTGAACATCTACCGATAATGACAGATAAGCAAAGCAGATGTCGACAAAAGGACTGTGATAAAAAAGTAGAACTAAATGCTCTAAATGTAATATTTATTTATGTGTAACTGTCCAAAGAAACTGTTATTTACAATTTCATACTTGAAATTTAAAACCAAAATTTCAAGTATGAAGAACCAAAAACCAATGTTGCTAATTGAAAAATGCTAAAAGATTATTTTGATATTTTGAAAACTTAGTATTTGTTGCAAAGACTTAATTCGTTTTGAGATTTTTGTTTAAATGTTGATTTTCATTAGTTCTTTCCTGTTAATCAGAGTTTCTTAGATTTTTGTTTTGTTTTTCCTTTGAAAATAAGTTTTTCTGTGTTTATTTAGAATATTTGTGATGCCAAAACTAAATACTAAAAAAATAAGGAAAATAAAGTTGATTTTCATTTAATTGTAGTTTTATTTTAAAGTGTACTCATGTGATGACACAGTCCGCTTGTACTCGTACGAGAACATAAGGAAAAACCTTGTGGGAAAAACGATGTATTTTTTTTTCTATTTTTTCTCGTACTAAAAACCCCCCTAGACGCAGTTAAAACATTTTTTTTTAAATTTTCCTATCAACACGTTCAGGACTCAGGAGGTTAAAGATATTTACAATTTTATAAAAAAATGAAATGAGGATGATGATGAATGAAGTGAGAGTACAATTAGATTACAAAAAAAATATAAAGGTAGGAGAATAGGGGAATAAAGAGATGTAGTGGGGCCTAAAAGTCGAAGCGACACACGTTGCGATTGTAGAGGTAGGTTTCTTAGCAGCGACGACACGCAGCGCCTGAAGCCAGCACCCGCCGGTTGCGCTTGTAGAGGTAAGTTTCTTAGCAGCGACGGCACGCAACGCCTGGAGCCAGCACACGCAGCGTCCGGAGCCGGCGCACGTAGCGCCTGGAGTAGGTGCGCTCAACGCTTAGAGCCAGCAGTTGCAGCGCCCAAAGGTAGCGCCGGCGGTAGGTGCTCTCGGCGCCTGGAGTAGTGTGGCCCCCGCGCTTGTAGTAGACTCGAAGCGACTTCCGAGGTAGATGGAGGCTTGTAGGATTCCGTAGTGGTGTGGCTCCGCGTTTGAAGAAGGCTTCGCCGAAGAGTACACGTGTAGGTGGAGGCTTGCAGGATCCCGGGGCAGTGCGGCCCCGGGATAAGGCCTTTAGGAGATACTTCCAATTCGCGAACTGAAGCGAGACTGCCTTTCTTCACCGATTGTTCGGCTTTTATACCTTTCTAGAGAGAACGGAAAAATTATTTAAATTAAACCCAAAGTTTTTGTAAATGGTCAAGAGAAAAGAGTTTTTATGTGGAATTATCGAAATAGGAACAACAGATCGGTAGCAAATTTGAATATAATTACTATGGAAACGAAATAAATAACAATGACAAAACATGTCAAATTTTGGTTTTAGGTTTATAATAAGAAAATGGTAAGATTTAAGTGGAAAATGAGATATTATTGATATAGGAAAAAAGGTAGCGCAGCTGCCCACACAAAGTCCAAGATTGTAGAGTTACGGAAAACTAGCTAAAAGATCGAAAAAAGGTAGACTCCATTGACACCAATTTAAAGGTGCTGATAATGTGAAAATACGAAGTAGAAATGATTTGTTATTGTGTTCTTATGGTTTAAAATCGTTACAGGATCCTATGGAAATAAAGGTGATGTAAAATATCCAGTTTTGAGGTGAATGCAGAAAATCGAAACAGAATGGAAAAATGAATTTAAAATAATGTAAAATGATATGTAAGTAGCATAACACTACAATATATATATATATATATATATATATATATATATATATATATATATATATATATATATATATATATATTGTAGTGTTATGCTACTTACATATATGTATCTGGTAGTACATTAGACCCCGCCAATTATGGACCTATTTCTGTACTACCAACACTTAGTAAGATTTTTGAAAAAAATATTCTTAATTTGGGTATATTTTGTGACCTATCCAAGGCCTTCGATTGCGTTCACCATGATGTTCACTACTAGCTTGTGTCTGTTCCTAGTATTTACAGTATAATCACTTATTTTTGTAAAACTACTTTTATTTTTGTGTACGTACATTACATTTTTATAAATGTATTGAGAGGCGAAAGTTAATATATTAATTTCCTTAAATTTTTGTCGCAGCGACTCTTTAGGCTTTAAATCATAAATTGCTCGTATGGCCCTGTTCTGTAAAACAAATATAATTTCAGTGTCAGCTGCGTGCCCCTATAGCAAAATACCATACGACATTATGCTATGGAAATAGCTAAAGTAAACTAGTCTAGCTGTTTCAACACTGGTAAGACTTCTAATCTTTTTACGGCATATGCTGCAGAACTTAGTCTGCTTGCTAGTTTTGATATATGGGGGCTCCATTTAAAATTTTAAAAACTTAGAAATGAGGATATCCGCAGTAGAACCAGAGTGACCGACATAAACCAACGGATTAGTAAGCTGAAGTGGCAATGGGCCGGCCATATACCTCGACAACCGACAACCGATGGGAAAAACGCTTCTCGAGTGTCGGCCTCGTACCGGTGGATGAAGCGTAGGGCGTCTCCTCAATAGATGGAGTGACAACCTGGTAAGACATGCAGGGAGTCGATGGATGCAGGTGGCTTTGGACCGTGCTTTGTGGCATTACTTGGGGAAGGCCTATCTTCAACAGTGGACTGTGAAGTGCTGTAATGATGATGACGTCCCATATGTAAGTCTAATATATATATATATATATATATATATATATATATATATATATATATATGTATGTATGTATATATAGGAAATATTATATACATATATAGTACTTTTACTGTGATACATGCTTTTTCACAGTAAAATCTTTGAAAAAATAATTTTTGATCAATTGTTAATTTTTTGAATACAAATGAATTACTTCATAAAAACCAATTTGGATTTACAAGGGGTCGCTCGACGTCTGACGCCGGTGTTGAGCTTATGAAATATATTTTTAATGCCTGGGAGAATTCACAAGATGCCTTAGTTATTTTCTGTGATCTTTCCAAGGCTTTCAATTGTGTTCATCATGAGACATTAATCAGGAAACTACAACATTACGGTGTAAAAAATTTGGCGCTTAGACTTATTACTTCATATTTAAGTAACAGAACTCAAAATGTCGTGATCAAAGGTCAAGGTTCCTCTGGATCGGTAGTATTAATGGGCGTTCCTCAGGGCTCGATTCTTGGCCCATTCCAGTTTTAATCTATATTAATGACTTACCTTATCTTGTAGGGGACAATCACGATATAGTATTATTTGCTGACGATACTTCTTTCATTTTCAAACTTAGACGGCAGTCATATAATTATAACGATGTAAATAATGCTCTATCGAAATTAGTACATTAGTTTAACGCCAACAATTTGCTCTTAAACGGCACTAATACAAAATGTATTACATTTACAATACCTGATGTAAAACATTCGAATACCAATGTGCTCTTAAATGGAGAAAAGTTGAGTCTTGTGGATACCACTGTTTTTCTTTGTATTACTATTGACGCGAAACTTCAACGAAACTTAGAAGTCTCACAAATGTTGAGACAACTAGATTAGTGTATTTAAGTAACATTCATAACGAAATGTCTTATGGAATTTTGCTATGGGGTAATACGACTGATATTGAATCTATATTTGTTTTACAAAAGAGAGCCGTACGGGCGATTTATAACCTAAATTGAAAAGAGAAAACTTTAAAGAAATAAACATATTAACTTTGGCATCGCAATATATTTATGAAAATGTAATGTATATACATAAAACATAAATACCTTTAACAAGGATAAGAATGTTCATACCAGGAACACTAGGAACAAACATAAGCTTGTAATATAAATAAAAATAGTTCGTAATCATTTATATTCTAAAATTTATTTTAAAAAAGTCTTCAATATTTATTATATATAATATTTATCAATATTTCTGGTAAGGTGTAGCTCCCGTCTTACGAACAACTACCCGAGCCTCTCAGCTTGATAATGAAAAGACATCCAGAACATGAACATTTTATGAAAGGTATTCAAACATATAATAGTTACTTTCAAATGATTTCATTCGGTGCCAAACAGATAATATAGCACGTTTTTATGCCTAAATTTAAAATTCTGGGCCAAGTATACCACTTGGTTGAAAGTTTGCTGCCAGCACCTCAAAGGGAACCACAATTCTTTCAAATATATTTTGTTGGTGAATACGACAAAAAAGTACAATTAAGGTGTGATAACCATCCTTATGTGAAATCTGGTTAGTCAGGCTACTACAAGGAATGCTACACACGTTTAATGCTTATGTATGATACTTCAAGATTGCCCTGGACAAGGTGCCTGCAACGTCTAAAACATTCAAAGTAGTCATTAATGCCGAGAAGAAGCCACCAAACAGCCATAGGGATCGCTTCAATGCACCTCAAATGTCAAATGAGGTGGCCTTAGTAATGGTTGATCAACAATTTGAGCAACGACATTATCCTTGAGAGGCACGAAACTCATTGCAGCGCATTAGTGAGATCCACCGTTCGTACGACGCCCTGCAGTATCTGCTTTTGTTTTGCTGTGGCGAGGATGGGTACTCTATTTCTTTGCCTCAGCGTGATCCTGCGACCAATCGAGCACTTAAAAAGACAGTCTCCGCTATGAGTTTCTATTTTTTCCGTATAATGATTAGGCATGGAGAAGATAATCACCTGGT